TGTGTGGTTGGTGCCTGGGGGTACTAAGGAGGGCTTCCCTGTGGAAGTGACATTTGAGATGGGGGAAAGCCAGGGAAAGGATGATCTGGGCACAGAGCACCCTGAGGTGAGATGGACCTTGCTTCCTTGAGGAGCAGAAAGAAGGGCTAGGTGTTTGGTGCCCCATGAGAGGGGAAAGGCAGGAGGAGATTAGGTCAGAGAAGTAGGCAGGGACTTTGGAGGCCAAGGTCAGGGGTTTGGAAATTTGAAATGATGGGAAGCGATTGAAAGAGTTTTAAAAGGGACAGTTATTGTACCCATTAGGATTAGCTGTGACTGTGAATATCTGAAACCTGGAAAATAATGGCATATATTAGATAGAAGTTTACTTTAAATGTAAAAATAAAAGTCCAGATGGTATGGAGTTTCCACACAGTTGTCAAGGACCTAGGTTGTTTTCACCATCCTTAAGGTATAGACCTTGTCTTCATGATCCATGTTGACTGCTGGAGCTCCAGCCATCATATCCGAGTTTCAGCTCCAAGGAGGAAGAAGTGAGAGAAAAAGGATACACCTTCGCTTTAAGGTGTTTTCCATATCCTGAGGACCTCAATACACTTTGGTAATTGGATAGAACTTGTCATGTGGTCACACTTAGCTGCAAGCAAAATTAGGGAAATGCAGTCTTGTTGTTGGATGGCCATGTGCCCCATTCTTTTTTTAAGGGAAAAGGGAAAAATTGATGTTAGGAGGAAACTTAACAGTCTCCTACTGGCCATTGTGTGGGGAACACACCTGAGAAAAGCAAGGGAGCAGGGAGCCCTCAGGAGGGAATGATAGGAAAAAGATGGTGGTGGCTTGGACTAGGACATGTGCAAGAAGAGATGGAGGAAGTGGACTGACTGAAAACAAATTTGAAAGAAAAACCAACAGGATGCCAGACATTGGAGGGCCCCTGACCCCTGGGCTGTGCACTGGAGGATTCCCAGGAAATGAACTAGTCCAGCCCATCCCCAAGCTGTGCAGTGCATCCCACTGGACTGGGATTCACCAAATCCCTGGGTGTACTTGGGGAACCAGGCATAGGAGTACAAAGAGGCTCTGTGGAGCTCGTGGTTTCTAACTCACACTCTCGTTGCAGCCTGGTCATGCGGCATGCTGGGTCTCCAGAGCGCTCAGATTAGAGTGTGCCCGACCAGCAGTAAGGCCTGCCTCACCCGGCATGCCCACACTCGGTCCTGACTCCCTTCTCACAGGCATGGCAGAAACCACAGACTGAAGATGGGGCCCAAAGGAGGAAATTTGGGTAGCTCTGGCCAGGTTCACCAGCCACACTCCACAGATGGGGCACCACGCTGAGAGCAGGGAAAGGACAGATGCTTCCCAAGGCCACCCAGGCAACTAGGAGCAGCCAACCCATAAGCCTGTTTGAGGCCCCAGGTGGAGGCATGCCCCCTCCTTACCCACCCTGCCTCCCAGAGCCACTGCCCACCCAGGCACCCATCGCCCAGGCCCAAGGGAGAGCATTCCAGATTCGTGGGGCAGGGGAGGGTCAGATGCTGAAGAAACTCATCTCTTCATTAGCTTAGAACCTGGGAGGCCAGGCTCTCTTGGTGGGCAGCCCTCCATGTTAGCAGAGGGTGACTAGGGAATCAAGGCTGGGGCCCTCAGAACACTGGCCTTAAGGAGATGGAGCTGGGCTGGCACACAGGTTTGACCTACTAGCCTCCTGGCCAGATGTAGCTTCCGTCCCAAAGGAGATGCCAGAAATCTCCCGTCTGCCTGCTGTAGCAGACAGGCTCTGACATCTAAATAGCTACTAAGCTAGGCTGCTCAATTCTGGAAACGTGTCCACAGAAGACTTTCGCCCCACATACCTTTTATACAGAGTCTTTTGTCAGCCACAAAGCTTCCAGGTGCTGACCTCCATTCCTTTGTGTCTCTCCACCCCAAGGGACACCTGCAGGTTTCCAGCCTGTCTGCTCCCTTCCTGAGCCAGGTGCCATGGGCTAGGTAGTCTGTCTGTCCTCTGGCTTCACTGGAGGACTTAGGGGTTAAAAGGGCTTGGGAGCAGAGTCGCCATCCAGTAATAATTATGCCCATGAATGAAAAGCCCCGATTCTGGAGGGCAGGCCTGTGAGGTCAGGGAGGTGGGGGGCCTGGCCTGGTGCACCCATCCCAGCCCCCACCAGGGCTCAGTCTCACCTTGGGCTCCAGCCCATGCATGCTGAAACAGGGCAAGGCAGCTGGAAGAGGGGTCCAGGAAGTGCTGGCACCAACTTCCCAGCCAGGTGGACCCACTGGGCTCCCTGGACCTGCCTCCTCCAGCGCCGTGTGTCTTGTCTGGGGCCTGGTGTGTGAGTCCCGTCCACAGAGAGGGTGTGGGGTCCTGAAAGCTGTGGCACTTTCCTGCTGCTTCCTGGTATCTTCGTTCTTAGGGGCTTCTAAGGGTAGGACAAGGGTCTTGGGGATACCACTGACTCTGAGGGCACATCTCTTAAGTTCACCCTTCTAAAAAATCCCAAGGAAAGAACACCGCCCAGCATGAGTCACATGTGCACCAGCCCCTCATTCCCTTCGTGCCTTAGCTTCCCCCACTGCCTTCCCCCACTGACCTGGACTGGAAGCTGGTCTGGGCCTGGAGGGACTGTGGGCTTCTGGGCACGAGGGGTCCAGTACACTCCCCTGCCCACTCCTTGCCTGGCCCTGCACCACCAAGCATACCTCCCCTGTCACTGGGATGCCCCCCAGCACCCAGCAGCCAGAGCACATGCTGAGTGCGGTACCTGGGCTGGGTGGCAGCCACAAGGCAGGGCCGTTCTTCCAGGCCCACTGGAGTATTGCAGGCCAGGGATGCCTCTCCTTGCTTTTGGGTCAGGACAGTGGTCTGAGCAAGGCCCTGTCACCCAGAGAGAAGTGTGAAGACTCGGCAGACAGGGCTTGCCTGGGGCCTGGCCGCAGATGGGTGTCCTGGTTTGGGTTCTTCTAAATACCAAGACAAGGATTTGGGTGGAACCCGGAGTTCATTCCGGAGGTCATTTCAGAAGGCACCAGGGAGAGGGGACGTGACACGGGGGAGGGTGAGAAAGAATAAAGGGATAAAGGACAGTGATGGATGGGCTCCAGTTTCAGGCAGCTGGGGCTCAGGGCTCCTGGCAGTCCTCTGAGAGACTGGCAGACACATCATAGAGCCACCTTCCTGGAAGGGCAAGGAAGCCGGGGTACTTGCCTACCGCCTGTCTGTCCTGTGCACAACTCCCAGGCCAAGCAGCCTGCTCTGCACCCCCAGGGGCACAGCTTTCCTTAGGCAGAGGCAGGAAGCCAGTCTATCTGAGGAACCCTCTGAAGGCAGCCTGGAGGGCAGGCCCCAGCATACAAACGGGGCCCCACAGCAGCACCTGCGTCACCCCTGTTCCAACCGTTAAAGCAACGACCCTCTCAGAGATGAAACCAGACCTTTCTGGTTAGTGCGTGTCAGCCTTGGTGCGGCCCTTTGTTGGGCGTTGCTGGCCATCAAAGCTGCTCTGGCTGGCGCCTGCTCTCGGCACTGTGGGTCTGACCACAGACACTGGCTTTGCAGTCCGAGGCTCCTGATCTTGGCTCCCAGCTCTGATACTGCCTGTGACTGTAGGTGAGGGCCCTCCTCTCTCCGGCCCTCAGCTCCCTGACCTGTAAAGTGAGGATTGTAGCACAGAGTGCACTGTACGCGTTAGGGCCGTGGCGGCACGGTTCAGCAGTCACTGGAAACAGCAGTCATTTCTTTTCATGGGGCAGTGCTGGCTGGGGATCCGAGACCCAGGGTGGGCTCCGCTCTGCTCTGTGCGTCCCGCATCCCCTTCCTGGGGCGTATGGGAGCGCCTGATCATGTTCATGGTGACGGTCCCACGGCCACACTCAGGTCAAGCTCAGAGGAAATACATTCTGCCTCTGGGGGAGGAACTGCAAAGATCCAGGGCCAAGGCCTGGTAATGCAGTCTTCCACCGCTCTCTCCTGAGTTGCTTGTGAAAGTCTAAGGAAATAGTGTGTGTGCATGGGAACGTCCTTTGTAAACTGCACGTGCTGTGAGTGTGCGCAAGGTGCTGGTGCTGGTGAGGTCCTCTGACTTCTCCGAGAGCCTCTGACTCTTCAAAAACCACTCCCTTCTCGGGTTTGGTGTTATATCTGTTTGATTGCAGTCTTTGAAGGTGGTGACCCTGTTTGGTATCCAGGATGATGTGCCTTTAGTGAATCACCCTCCTCAGACTAGGGAGCACGGGAAGGAGGCCGAGGCGGGGCAAGCTCCGCACTTCATTATCCCCCCGCCTTACCCCTGGCTAGTTTGACCAGGTTGGGTCCTCCACTGCCCCAGGGAAACAGGCCACAGGTCAAGGGCAAATAAGTAACTAATTAATAAAATTAAAATTTGCCTTTGGGCCATCCAAGGGCTCATGCTCCTGAGATTCACTGTTGATATGAGGCATTTTCACCACATGCACCAATGAATAGACAGCCTCTTCACTTCCCCACCAGCCAAGGGACATCTCCACTGGACCCAGTCCCTCAGCTGACTGGAATTCCCAAGTGACCAACAGGCCCCTCTCCCTGATCTAGCCCAGTTCCAGGGCCTTGGCTTTGCCTGGGTAAGAAGTATACAAAATTACAGTATTAGCCAAGAGCATTAACTCCCGCCTCCCCACACGAATACTATGCAAAAATCCCTGTTTCCAAAACAGATGAAGGCAGAGCTGCTCCGGTTAAAGCTGGGGCACAGAAGAACCCTGTCCACAAAAAACCCTAGGGCTGCATGGACAGGGTCAGAAACTACTGCTTTAGAAGGTCCATGCGTGGGATTAGCGGGGCCTGCATGTGCTCATCCCCAGGGCCCTAATGTGTGTGCACAGGCATGGGGGTGTGAAGCCCATGGCCTGCTTCTCCTGACCTGGCTTAGGCCTGAGCTCTTGTCCTGGCACCCCAGCAGGTGTCTTCCAGGGGCTTCTGTCCCCACTGAGGTCTCAAAGCCACCATCCATCTCTCCTCCCAGGCTGACGCCAAGATGGTGTGTGACGTGGTAAGTCGGATGGAGGATACTGAGCCCTTCTCTCCAGAGCTGCTTTCCGCCATGATGCGACTCTGGGGTGACTCAGGAATCCAGGAGTGCTTCAACAGGTCTCGGGAGTATCAGCTCAATGACTCTGCCAAATAGTGAGTATCCCAGGCAGGAAGGCAGCTGCCAGGGTCAGGGAATGGGCGGGGGTGGCAGCGGGCACTGGAGTTGCTCTGAGGTGTTCTCCTGCCTCTAGGGTGAGGAAGAGGCCAGGGAGGAGGAAGGCAACTAGAGCCAGCGCAGCAGGGCTCCCAGAGGGCCGGCCCGCCACCTGCTTGCTCCAGAGAGGGCCTGGTGCCCCAGACAGAAGGTTTTCAGTGTACCAGTCTTTTTTGTCCTGGAGAACCCCTGACTCCAGCAAGTGCAAATTGAGAACCATATAGGCAGAAAATAACTTACATGGTGCAATTTTGCTTTATGTTAGAGAAAATAATAAACTTTTGATTCCACTTTCTTTAAAGAATATGGAATCCATCCAATAAATATAATAAATAATCAGCATATCCTTTAATATTGTTTTATAACTAAATAAGGGTCAGAAAAGGAGAAATAAGAAGAGGGGAAGGAAGGGAAGAAGACGGAACAAAGCAGCAGTAATTGCTCCACGAAAGCAGAGAGGCCTGGAGGGGGAGGAGAGGGGAGAGCGCTGGTGGGGTCCCCCCTGCACAGCAGGGTCACGGGACTGCCCCCGAACTGTGTCACCCCAGGCCTAGGGTTGAGTGCACTTGGCCCCCTGGGAATGGTCTGCGTCGTCAGGGGCATGCCCTCTACCCTGGAGACATTAGGATCGCACCAGCTTTCAGGAAACTCACCCTACTTTTGCAGTCTTGTGCCCAGGTTTTTAGCAGGACCCATTAGGGGAATGCTGCTGTTTCAGGACACATGTGCTCCGACGCTGATCAGAGTCAGCCATCCTCACCACTGCTTCTCAGCCAGGGCCACTTTGCCCCTAAGAGACATTTTGCAATGTCTGGAGACATTTTTGCTGTCCTGACTAGGTGTTCCTGACACTTAGAGGATAGAGGGTAGAGCTGCTGCTGTACACCGTGCAGTGCACAGGACAGCTCTCCATGACAAAGGATTATTTGGCCCAAAATGTTAGCAGTGCAGAGATTAAGAAACCCTGGTCTAAGCGAGGGTGCTGGAGCAGAGGGTGAGGCCAGGAAAACAGCCAACTCACTACTGGGTACTGGGACATTTCCTTTTGCCATGGTGACAGCTGACAAACTAAAGACTTGAGTAGGGCCAGAGCATCTTCTCATTTCTGCACAGCTAGATTGTCCATGGGGCAAGTGCTTAGGTCCAGTGAGTCCCAGGTGATAGTGACCAGGCTCTAGGCCCTGCTGAGCCCGGGGACACTTGGTGGGCAGGAGCGTGAGCCCAGATGTTCCCATCCACAGATCCTGCACACACACAATCACAGATTTCCACTCAGGCCTTCCTCCTGAGCCATTCAGGCCAGGAGGGAGTCCCCCGTCCTCGCCTCCCTCCCTCTCCTTGCTGGGCCTAAGTCCAGGGACTTCCCACTCCCCACTACCCTCAGAAGCATCACACTGTGCCCTCCATTTACGTTTTTACTCACTTAACTAATTATAACATGAATCCATTGCAAAAAAAATTTTTAAACAGTACAGAAGATAGGATTCATGGTAAACTGCCTCTCCCAAGCCTGTCCTCTCCTCCTTTAAACTCTTTCATTTATTTGTCCCAGGGTTGTACAGAAAAACCTGACCCTCCAACTGTAAATAGCAGTTAATGAACTCCAGCTGTGAAATTTGGCGATTCAGCTGCCTGCCTGCCTGCTGTCCACTCCTTTCTCCACTTCCACCCCCAGCTTTTTTGCTAGTTGGAGGATTTTTCGTTCTTCTGGTGGTCCCTTTTTAACTTCAAGGAAGAAACTTGAGTGGGTATTTGTCAACCTCCAGTGCGAAAGCTGAGGAAGCCCACCTTCCTCCTCTCTGTGTCAAGGGCAGGCTTCTGGGGCAGGCGAAGGGGGGAGCCACCAGCAGTCGACTCAGAGGGCCTCACACGCTTGCTGGTCCAGGGCTGTTTTGCATCATGGTTTTAGCAGCTGAATCTCCTCTGACAAAATCTTAAGCCTTATGTATAAAACCGTTAAAAGTAGTTTTGTGACAGAAAGGAGAGGGAAGCCTCAGAGGGCTGTTGCATGGCACAGATCCCTGGGGCACCATTTAGGTCCTGGACTGTGTGACTGGCTCCCCAAGCCCCTCACAGGTGAGGTACCAGGGCTGAGGGGAGAGGCAGGCAGGCAGCTGGGCAGCCAGGACCCTGGCCACACCCGGGCTCTCGCTGATGCACACACCCCAGCCTCTGTGCGCTTAGCTGGCTAACCTCCTCCCCTCTGAATGATCGCTCTGAGCGGTCCCCAAAGCCCAGAAACCTGAGCACATCCAAGCAGAGGCTATGAAAAGTATTTCCACGGTTTGGTTTGGGTTGTTTTTTCCCAAACCCAGTCCCCGCTGAACATTGGTGCTTGCTGTCAAGTGTCCTTTCTTGCCCTTCTCTCTGGAGCCCGCCCTCCTGCACCCCACTGAGACCACACCCAGCCAGGACACCCCAGGCTCTGTGCTCAGCCCCCTCCCGCCCAGTGCTCCATGTGGCGGCAGCCCTCAGTCACCTCCTCGCAGCGCTGTCCCCTCGGCACCTGGGCCTCCGCAGTTCCTCAGACCCCTGCCTGTCCCTCTGCAGTCTTTGAACCTTCTTGTCTCCATGCAGAGGGCCTGAATGATCTTCTCCAGCCTCAGCACCTTGAATTCCTCCTATACCAGACAATTCTCAAATTGCATCACCAGCCCAGCCTGCCCTTCTGAGTTCTGCTTACTCAGTGTCCATTTGTTTGGACATCTCCAGTGCATCTCAAATTAATACATGCCAGCTGACCCCTAGCTTCCACCTCCCCCCAGACCTGCTGGGCGCCTGCACTTCCTCCCACCTACCCTGAGGAGGCAGCTTTAACGGCTCTTCCTTTCATGTCGCACTCCTCATCCCCTGCACAGATGCCACTGCGGCAGAACTGCCACACCTCTCACCCGATCCTGCAACCTCCTAACAGGTCTCCCTGCTCCCCACTCCCAACTTGCTCTCCTTAGGCAGCAGAGCCATTATTCCAGCACTCCCCAGCCAGAACCTTCCAGGAGCCCCCATCTCAGAGTCAAAAGCCCTACTCCTCACAGGGACCCACAGGCTGGTGCTGTGCCCATCGTCGCCTCCACACCCAACTCCTGTCTCCCATCCCTTGTGCTTCCTGCCTCACACTCCTGTCCAGCGCCCTCATCCAAGCTTCCTCGTCCACTGCAGGCATGGCCTCTGCACCCCAGAACCACAGGAGGCTCACTCCCACTGCCCTCAGTCTCCATTTAGGTGTCACCCACCTTCCTCAACCCCCATATCAGATAGAAGCCCCCTCAGGCCTTCCCCCTTACCAGTCACCAGACACCACCTCCAGACATGCTCTATATCTTACTTACCTGTTATTATCACACACACACACACACACACATACACAAATGTAGGTTCTAGGAAGGTAGGGGTGGTGGCAGTCTTGTTCATTGCCCCATGCCATCCCCGGGGCGGTGGCTGGGTTGTAGGGACAGATGTACCCATCCCACCTGCTCACCCTACCCTCTGGTGGACACCTCCCCATGTGAGGCCTGTTGTGTGCCTAAAGGAGGTCTCCCCAGCTGGAATAAGGGGGCCAAGAACAGGCCCCCACCCCTGGCATCCACCTGGGCACCACAGGAGCAGAGGAACTTGAAAACCAGCACAGCAAGCAATGGAGGCAGGGGAGGTCCTGCACCAAGGGCAGGGGGATTTGGGAGGGCTGGGCGGGGCTCCTCCAGGCTGAGACCAGAGCCCAACCACCCGCAGGCCTGGTGAGGAGGCACTGAGGCAGCCAGAGCTTCCAGGTCTGCTCAGCAGCCTCAGCCCCATCCTTCCACAGGATAGAGGAGGGCCCAGAGGCCTTGTGAAGAGCACAGGCAGACCTAGCTCGATCCCAGCTATGCGCCCTTCTAACAGTGTGACTTTAGGCTTACCCTTCCTGAGCCTGGGAACCCACCATTCGGTTTTATTTCTTCAGGGAAAGATTCTCAGGGAAAGGATTTCTTCAGGGGAACGATTTGAGGCAGGCCTGAGCTACTGGTGTACCAGTGGAATCCCCCATTGGTGAAGGATGTGCACAAGCTGGGGAGCCAGCCTTCCACAGGTCCCAGGACAAGTGCTGATGAATCACGGCCCTTCCATGTGCAGCCTGGGACCCAGCATCATCCTTGGCTCAGACCTTCAAGGGTCCAGCCCTGTGGGTCCCTGAATCTTCATGCAGGCCTGGCTCAACTCCCTCCTTCCTGGTTTCCCCAGATTCAGATTCCCCCTGGCTTTGGGTTCAAACCTAACCCAAACAGACCCCCAAAGCCTTTCCAGGGGCTTGGCCTGGGCAAGTGGAATGAAAGGCCTGGCCTGTCATGAGAGCAAATGGTGGCATGGGAAGAGAGCCCTGCTGCCGAATACCTGGGTCCCAGCAAGGCCCGGCCCCTGCCTGGCTGTATGACCTCCAAGCCTCCCTTCCAAGAGCATCAAAGAGGAAGATGTGACAGACCCCTTGGTAAACTCTAAGGAGGTGTGGAAAAGCAGGCAGGTGTTCAGAGGGCTTCCTAGAAGCACTGTCGATGCAGCTAAGAGGCAGGCTCTGGAGCCAGATGTGCAGGTTCAAGCCCTGCTCACAGCTGGGCAGGGGACTTACCTTCACTGACCCTCAGTCTTCTAATCTATAGAATAGTACATTTAACTCCAGGAAATGAAGGATGAAATAAGATCACACATGTAAAGAATAGAACCTAAAACTGTTGGCCATATTCTTTTAAGATGGTGACATGAAAAACAGTATTATAAACATGTTAGTCTCACATCAGAGTTCGATCTTGCCTGGGTGTACCTGGAACTGTGTGCACAGCGCTTGGCCTGCGTTAGAGGCTCTTTGACAATGTGAGGCCAGGACCTGAGCTCCTCCTCCTCTGTCACTGCCCCTCCTGCCTCCCACACCTGGCCTGCGACAAGGTAGGGTCCTCACTTCCATACCCGAGCAATGTCTGGTGTTTGGTCCATGGTCCCCTATGTGTTGCCATCCCCAGCTACCTGGACAGCCTGGATCGGATCGGGGCCACCGACTACCAGCCCACCGAGCAGGACATCCTACGAACCAGGGTCAAAACCACCGGCATTGTAGAAACACACTTCACCTTCAAGAACCTCCACTTCAGGTGAGGCCCAGGGAGGCCCTGTGCCCTGCAAGGGTGCTGGGAGATGGGAGACCCCAGCCTCTTGGCCTCCGCTTGTCTGGAGCGTTCCGCAGTGCCCAGCCTCTGGGAGCTTTCAAGTTGGACAGGCTGAAGCCACCTGTGTTTCCCACCAAGTTCAGGGGCAGGGATGAGCAGGAAGGCTTTCCGGACGAGGGGTCCTGGAGAGGAGCTATGAGGAACAGGGAGGATTTGAGTGAATGAATAAGGAGTCCTATCCTGGGTGACTTCTGAGGAAGAGAAAGGCAGATCACCCAGGTAGCCCCTCAGGGAAGGTCACCTTGTTGGGAGGGGTGGGGAATGAGGGTGGGTAAGCCCAAGTAATATCTGTGAGACCCTAAGGGCCCATATAATCTCAGAGCTGGAAGGTGCTTAGAGATCTGCCAACCCAGCCTCTCTGTACATTTGGGGAAACCAAGGCCTGCGAGGAGCAAGGCTGCCTGGCCCGGGGATGGAGTGGTCAGTCTGTCAGCACCTGGAGCAGAACGCCTTGGGAGGCTCGGGGCACGTGCATGGCCCCCTCTGCTCCTACCCCTCAGTGTGACCAGGCACCCCCACACTTGCCTGGGCCCCACTGCCCACCTTCCCAGCTTCCCTGTCTCCCTGGCAGGCTGTTTGACGTCGGGGGCCAACGATCTGAACGCAAGAAGTGGATCCACTGCTTCGAGGACGTCACGGCCATCATCTTCTGTGTCGCGCTCAGCGGCTATGACCAGGTGCTCCACGAAGACGAGACCACGGTGAGTGGCCCTAGGCCGTACTTGGCCTCAGCAGCCCCCAGCAGCCCTGGGTGGGGCCAGCACGGTGCCTGGCGTTCCAGCATTGGGTGGGCCGGGTCTGCTCCCTCTTCTGACTATATTGCTGGGCCAACACCTCATGATGCCAATGCAGGAAAGGCAGCCACGGGCCACCCTGGCTCACACGCTGTGTGCAGACTGATCGTAGGCATCTGCAGACTTTGGGTCTGGGGCGATTAGAGCCCCTTCAGTAAATACAGCAGCCATGGGCCGTCAGGCTAGAGCCAGATTAAGCAAATCCTGGAAGAAACCAGGGTGGAGTCAAGCAAGAATGTACACAGTACAGAACAGCAGTTCCTAGTCCCAACAGCCCTCCCTGCACACCAGACTGGGGCTGGGGCTGAGGCTGGCCGTGGGAAGGGCAGTGGTGACAGGTCACGCTGCTGAGTGACGACCGGGCACAGGGGCCCTCCACTGGAGGGTGCCAGCCAGGTGCCCACCTTTGTTTATGTGGCAAGTTCAATCTGGGGCCTGGGAGAACTTCCAGCCTGGTTTCCCAGGGGTGCAGTCTCCTGTAGAAAGATGCTGCCTTTCTCTGGGCCTAGTCCTGGTTTGTGCTGAATTGAGACCACGCCTCTCTTCCTCAGTTACTACTATCTGTCAAAGGGGGTTAACAGTGGTACCTACCTTGTGGGGCCGTTGGTGATGGAATGAGAGAATCTGCATGAAATACTTGGAACTATTTCTGGCACAGCAGCACTGAGCTGGTGGTTGTATTGTCACTGGTGATTGTCTGTATTAGGGGGTCCACTGAGCAGTCCTGTCCAGGCTGCATGCTAGGCAGTGGGCCTGTCCACAGCGCCTGCAAGGGAAGTCAGGTGTTGTTTGACGTGGTCGCCAGAGAATCCCAAAAGTCACAGGACACAAGCCCACAGCACCTCCTGGCGGTGGGACTCCTGGGCTGTGGGCCACACCCTTGGCATTCGTCAGCTGCTGTCTGAAGCATGCACAGACCCTTGGCACTGAGGGTTTCAGGCAGCTTGTCGTCGTGGTGGGCCTCAAGCAAGGCCTGTCTCCTCTCTGGGTCCCTTCCTCATCAGTGTGGGCCTGCTGGTCCCCCAGGACTGCCATAAAGATCTGATGGGCTTTGGGGTGTGGGCTGTAGGGTATGGGGTGCAATGCCGTGGGAGAAGGAGCCGCCGTCCCAAGGGGATTATGCAGCAGTGAGGTTTGGGGCAGATCAGGACCAGACCCTCCAGCTGGGTGGTTCGTCCAGACTTGTACCGCTTGCCGGCCTATCCGCCTCCCGCTTCCCCTCTCAGGCCCAGCTGTTCTTCTGAGTCAGCCTTCAGCAAAGCCCCCCAGGCGCGCCTTGTCCCCCAGCGCCTCAGCTGCACCGCTCTTTCTGGTAATGGTGTCACCGTTTGCAGTGGTCTCGGCAGGCTGTGGCATCTAAGGTCACAGAGCCAAGGGTGGGGTAGAGGCACACACACGCCCTGGGCTGTGCTGGGACCCGACCCCCTGACCACCCCCAAAGCCAGGTTGACTCCCGGCTGCCCCCTACCAACATGTCTGCACACAGGGACTGCCTTGAGCACCTCTCACTGTTCCGTCGCTTGAGTCTGCTTTCTGAGCATTGGTCCAGTTGGCTACACACGTGGTCTGAGCCCCAGCTGGCTCGTCTCTTCTCCTGCAGCACCTGGGAATAGGGCTTGTGTGGTGAGTGAGATGCTAACCCAGCCGTGGAGTTCAAAGAAAGCAAAGGGCTGGAGGGTGGGAGGCCCTTCTCTCCGAGGAGGCCTCTCCCTGGGACCTGCCCAGCCTGGCCTGCAGGCACTTTAAACCCAGTCCCAAGCCCCACAGCCATGGGCCAGGGACTCACAGCTGCCTCTGGAGCACATGGCAGAAGAAGAGGGACCTCTGGGTGGGTCTGGCAGGCAGCTGTACGGCCCCCATCTCCATGGCCCTTGGATCTCCGGTGAATGTGGGGCTGGCTGGGCCTCGAGCTCAGGCAGGCTTCCCTGTCAGCCCATCTCGTGTGGCCCAGACAGCGCCCTGTGGATGCCTGCTGCTATGCAGACACCCATTCTGGGGCACTTTCCCTTCTGGCTCCTTGCTGTCCACCCTTACTGGCCCTCTCCCAGCCTTTCCCTCACCTTCCGCCTTCTCCCATACTTCCCCTGCCCTTCTTCACAAAGGCTGGAGCAGAGGGCCTTGGGAATGCAAAGGCTCATGGGACCAAAGCCAGGGAAGAGCAGCAAGGGGCAGGAATTGGCTTTATAACTTGATGACAGCTCAGGAAAGGCAGCTCATTGCCACATGGCATCAAGAACAATACCACTGCTTTAGAACTGAGCAAACAGTGTGCCCAAGGTCGGGCAGCAGCATTGGGCATCTGGGGAGCCCAGTGGATCTGCCCAAGGTCTGGTGCTGTCCCTGCTGCTGTGTGAGCACGGGCTGCTGCTCCACTCCCTCCTCTGTAAAATGGCAGTGGAGGCAGAGCAGCCTCGTGGGCAGCTGTGAGGACCGCTGCGCTCAGAGCTCTAAGGGCTCCTGCTCTCCGGACTGTGCACTCAATAAATGGCGGCTGTTGGGTACTCTGTCCAGGCATGTGGCTAAAGTTCAAGTCATGGGGTATGGATGCTCTGCCCCCAGGAGGCAAGAATTAGGCCCTCCTGCCCAATGCTTGGTCCTGAGACTTCCTCTCCAGTCAGCCCTGCACTTCACCCCTGGTCTGGGCAGGAGTTGGGGCTGCCAAGACAAAGGTGTCTGGAGGCAGCTCCTGCAGCTCGGCCAGGAGCCTGGGGGCTGGGGGCTGCCTACCCACCCACCAGCTGGCCACTCTGTCCACCGCACCCCGGGACCCTGAGGGCCTCATCCCATCCTCGTACCTCGGGCCCGCGGCTCCAGCAGCACTGAGCCTCAGCCTGCCACAACTTCACCACCTCTACCTTCGCCACTGCCTGCAGGGCCTTAACTTGCCAAACAAAGGCCAAAACCATGAGCTGATTCTGAGAGACCCTCCAAGCTGGGCAGGTATGAAGCACCTCTCTCCAACCATCAGCTAAGAGTTGAAAGCAGCAGGTCCTCGGGGCCCCGCCGGGTGACTTTGCTGTGGATGCCTGCCCGTCCCACTCCCGCATCCCACACTCCCCGGCCACTCGCTCAGGTTGGTCCCTCCCACCCTCGCCTTCCTTCTCCAGCCACACGGTCCACAGCCCCAGGGCAGCCGTGGCCTCTGTGAGCCTGCACGGGGGCCTCAGAATGGACTGGCCTTGGCTTGCTGGCCCTGAGACCCGTTGAACCAATTTTCCAGTTTTTTTCTTTCTCTTTCTCTCATATTTTCTGCTGTGTTTTTATCTTCCTCTGTTTTAACCTGTTTTGCTATGTTTCATCTTGGGGTTCTTCTGGCCCCTCTCCTGAGAAACCAGCCTGACAAGCAGCTCACCTAGAGCTGCCCCCGGCCCAGCCACAGTCCCGCCAACCAGCCCAGTCCCCCAAGCACACGAAGGCCACAGCAAGATCACCCCCCAGATGCTGTCCCCCTGGTGTCTGCTTCCAACTCTGGATTAATTCGAGGACCTCATAGTCCTCGGTTAATGTTTTCCAACTGAATGCGTGCACTCCCCCACCCCCGCTGGTAAACCGAATGATTCCCTGGTATTGACATCTGCATGGCCCGTTCCGTGTAGAACGCGTTGGATGGTGGTGCTGCCCCTGTCCCTGCGTGCATGGTGCATGTCCTCTCTGGGAGCTGGAGTCACTCCAGTGACCTTGCTGCCCCGTCCTGGGTCAGCCCTCCGGCGGGGAGTTGCCCCCCAACCCTGCCTGCGCGTGGAATGCAGCAGGGCCCAGGTGCTGGTTGTCCCGTGGGTCCTCCCATCTCCATGCCTCGGTGATGCATTCAGCCGCATTGGCGGACCTTTCCTCTGCTTGTTCCGCTGTGTCAGTGGCTGCGGTGGGTCAGGGCCTGGGCACTGCCAGCCCTGACTTGCCTCTCTGCTCTGTTGCAGAACCGCATGCATGAATCCCTGAAGCTTTTCGACAGCATCTGCAACAACAAATGGTTCACAGACACATCCATCATCCTGTTTCTTAACAAGAAGGACATCTTTGAGGAGAAGATCAAGAAGTCCCCACTGACCATCTGCTTTCCTGAATACACAGGTGGAGACTCCCTGCCCCGCACCCCCATGCAGACAGCAGGAGGCCTTCATGGCCCCCTGCTGGCCACACAAATTCCCGAGGAAGCAGGGCCCTTTTCCAAGCTCAGTCCACCTTTAGTATCTATGCTCTGCAGATGTACCAGATTCCACCAGGGAGAATCCAGCACAAACCAAACATGGGCCCGGAAAGTGCTGTAGGGAGGCAGGCCACTTCCCCATCAGAAGAAGCAAGGATGGAATCCTGGCTCTGCCACTTACGAGCTGTATGGTCTCAGCAACCTTGTGGAGCCTCAGCTTGCTCATCTATAGACAGAGATGATCAGTAAGGTAGCAACAGCAGGATGATAAGGGGGTTAGGACAGGGGCTTCGAATCAGGTAGCCCAAGAATCATGCACCAGCTCTGCCACTCACAGCAGTTGCACAATCTCTCAGAGTCTCAGCCTCCATATCTGTGAGATGGAGATAATCACTGGTATTATTCAACTCTTTGTGCAAGTCTGTGAGGACAAGGTGAGTTATGAACCTGGAGAACTTAGCATGCAGCAGGCATATAGTAAGTGTCCCCTAAACCTTTGCAAGGCTGATATAATTGTGATTTTATCTAACAAGTATCATAACAACACCTCCCACTTGGACAGTTACAAGATTCAAGTGGCCCATTGGGTGTGACAGAGCTTCACAAGCAATAGAAACCTGCCCTCCCTGCAGAGGAGCTCAGGGTGACAGCTCTGCTAATGTTGTGGTGGTTTCCCTAACTGGGATGGGTGGGCAGCAGGGAGGTGGCCTGACCAGGGCTCCTGGCAGAGAGGCGAGGAGGAATGGGCATTCCCAGCCTGACCAGGCCTCCAGCCTGGAAAGCACAAGGGCAGGGGCAGAGCCCCAACAAGGTGGGCCTCCTGGGCAGCTCCCAGGCTGAACCCCACTTCCCTGAGGGTGGACACGGGGGCCAAGGCTTGGGGCCAGGCAGGCAGCACAGTTCACTGTGTCCCTGTTTCTCAAGATCAGGCTGAGTCCTCCACAGGGCAGGCCCCCAGCAGCATGCAGCTAGAGGTGGGAGAGGTCCGGCATCCCTCACACCTGCCAGTCGGCCTCCTTTCAGCCATAAGCTGGAGGTCTGTGGATCCTGCCCTAGGTGACAGGCTGTGGTCTGTGGGGCAGCAGAAGCAGGCAGAATGGGTCAGTCACCAATGCTGGTTTGGAGCTGAGGAAGTCTGAGTGATTACCTGTAGGCCCCCGGACACCCTCCCTTACCTCCACACCAGACTGTGGTCTGGTAGACACTCAAGGATAGGCCTGGTGGCCAGTGGCCATGTGCCTGAGGGGCTGAGAACCCCCTCCAGGTATGCCACTTACAGGCTTCCAGTCTGCACAGCAGCCACCCCAGCTGGTGCTGTGACTCCAAATCCAACCAACCCATCCCCTCCCCCAACTTCCTTTCCCCACCTCCCTGCATCTTCCCTCAGGGGTTGTGGCAGCCCTGCTGGGGCCCAGGCCTGGCTTCTTGGAGCCTGAAGAGGCCTTGGTGCCAGGGGTCTCTTCTGCTCTTTCCCAAACAGCAGCTGCTTTCCTGGAACCCCCTGTCCCTGGGCTCACCTGGGAGCAGAGCATGGCACACCCGAGGAAGGCTGCAAGTCCATGAGCCAGACAGTTTTGAGGCCCCCACAGTGCATGTGAGGGCAGGGGGTGGGGGCCGTGAGGAGGAGAAAGAGGCCAAGGCGGCTCACAGGTGCCTTGTAGTTCCTACCCACTTTGCCCAGCGGAGGCCCAGGGAGGTGACATCCTGGACTGCTCTGGGGAGTCACAGACGGGAAGGACCTAGCTGCAGGGTGTGCATCCGCCAGGGCCCGGCCAAAAGGGTGAGTCAGATTTCTTTGAGCAGGACCCACAGTAAGAAAGAAGGTTTGCATCAGGCGTCAGTAGGCACGTGTATAAAAGGGAAATAGAGGAGCTTCGTGAACCGGTACTCACCCTTAACAGAGGTGAGGCACAGTGAGGTTTAATATTTTGTTTCATGCTTTTAAACTGGATATGGATCACTGACTTCATTTCATGACCTCCTATTGATGTAGCTAAGCCATCGAGCCCCCCCCACGCCCTCAGGGCCATCACTGAGGGGCCCTTGGTATCTGCGCCCTGGCCGGTGGCTGGATTGGACACACTGGCGGATACTTGGCCTCACCAGCTCCCCTCCTGGTCTCTCCCACAGGCCCCAGTGCCTTCACGGAAGCCGTGGCTTACATCCAGGCCCAGTATGAGAGCAAGAACAAGTCAGCCCACAAGGAGATCTACACCCATGTCACCTGTGCCACTGACACCAACAACATCCAATTTGTCTTTGACGCCGTGACGGACGTCATCATCGCCAAAAACCTGCGAGGCTGTGGCCTCTACTGAGCCCGGCCTCACCACCCAGCGGCCGCCACCCTGCCCACCTGCTGCCCCCTCCCTGCCCTGGAACCACCCTGTGCACATGACATGGCAGCACCGGCGGCTGGCACCTGGGGTTGGGGCAGACCCCCTCCACCAGCTGCCGCAGCTCCAGCCAACAAGCCACGTGGTAACGTGAGAGCCAGGCGGGGGCGCCAAGTGCCCACACCACTGGCCTGCTTCATCTGAGCGTTTTGTTCGGGGCAGAGGGGTGAGGGGATCAATGCCGCCGTTCAGCCCAGAAAGCGCACGCCCTACACTTGGTGGCTCATAGTCAAAATCCCAGGGTCTCCCCCTGTCATGTGGGGCTGCGTCGGTGATGGCGTGGTCCTGGGGCAGCGTGTTGGCAGCGGTGGGGGCAGTGAGAGCTACTGCTTAGCTTTTCTTGGGGTCTCCATCCCCAAAAGCCAGGTGGGACCAGGCCGCCTGCCTGTGGGTCCCAGGTGAGTGCCCCCCTCCCCCTTCCCCATGAATCTCAGCCTCCTGGTGCAAGCCTTTCCGTTTCTGGGCCGTCCTTCCTTGCACACCACACCCTTGGGGCTCCCTCGCCCCCTCCTGGGGAGCCCACTTCCCTGACTCCTCATAGGTCTGGAAATGCTTCTGACAATGACTTAATGTGAAGGCATGTAGTAGATGGTAGGAGGGGTTGAGTCCTGTGCCTGGACAGAGGCCATGCAAGAGGTGGGAGGTGGCAGCGGGGGAGGGGAGGCCGAGGGTCAGTAGCTCTCGTATTGACTGGGATGCGGGCCTCCTGTCCAGTCCTTGCAGCCCCAGGGGTGGCCCGTCTACCTTCTCCCGTCAACCAGGTCTCAGGCAGCTACTTGGAGTGTGAGTAACAGCTTTTGCTTCTTGAACTTACAGTGACTCCAACTCAGACGAGCAGGGTCAGGCAGGGAGGGGCCTTTGGGCTCTGGAGCTGGGGGTCCAGGGGGAGGTGTAGGCGAGGCCCTGCAAACACTGCTCTGGCTTCCGTCTTAGAGAGAGACCCGCATGTTTGTCTGCAGCCGTTGGTGTCCTGCCAGCCACCAGGGGCATAGGAGGGGCCATGGATGGGGCCACCACCCTGGAGAGTGTGCTACAAGGAGCCCAGGCCTTTCAAACACACACCCAGCCGCCCTCCTCTGGAGAGGGAATCCTGGGACCCCATAGAGGGCTTTGCTGCATGGATGCCTGAGCAGAAAGGGATGGGGTGACTTCAGCTGGAGACTCAGTCCCTGGCTGGCCTTGGGCAATCAACACACCTCCCTCTGACTCCTGAGAGCCTTCAGGGGGCTGATGCCACCAACCAGCCCCCAGGCAGGCTCTGTGTGCTATCTGGCATGCTCTGCCTAAGGAGCCAGATGTGCCCAGGGGAGGGGAGAGGGCTGCCCCTTGAGACACCTCTGCCTCCCTCCTCCAGCCCTCTGCTCTGCCAACCTCCACTCTGGGCTCTGCTGGGTCCCAGGGCTGGGCAGAACCCCTGAACTCCCAGTGCAGCACCTTTTGGCTGTTTCAGAGCCAGGAAAAGCCCCATGTCAGCATCTCTAGACTACTTGGTTCCAACAGGCACAGAGTTCTGAGCGATGCACAGGAGAACCAGGGCGACCTGCCTAGTGCCATACACCTGCAGGGATGGCTGCCACTGAGGTGAACCCCTGCCCTGGTCTGGCTGCCACTGGGGTGAGCCCCTGCCCTGGTCTGGCTGCCACTGGGGTGAACCCCTGCCCTGGTCTGGCTGCCACTGGGGTGAGCCCCCTCCCTAGTCTGCCTCTCGCTGCTGCCCCTGGCTGCGGGAGCCACCCTGCCATCCCAAGCCCACTTTGGTTTTGGTCACCTTATCATATGCCGGACCTTGTACACGGTGCTGGGTGGTGGCAGAGGACAGGCCTGAGTCAGCAGTCTCAATACCCTGCCCTGAACAGCAAGGGCCAGTTAAGCTATTTTGCCCAACACTGAAGACTAACAGTTATTTCCAGCATCACCACCCTCTGCTCTGTGACCCCAGACTCAGAGGGAGGATGCTGGCCAAACCCCACCTCTAAGGCCTTCACCCTAGGAGAGGAAGTCCCTGGCCCTGCAGCTCGGGGTTCCCCATCACCCGGCCACCTCGGCCACCTCCTCTAAGCCCAGGGGCCAGAGCAGGAGGCAGAGGGAGTGAGCAGGGCCCCCGCGCCCCGTCTGTAGCCATAGGGAGCCAGAGGAGTGGGTTGCCCCCCTGTGCCTGGGCCTTCTTTTCCAGCCTCAGCTGCTCACTCTCACCCTGCTTGGTTTCTCACGCTGCTCTTGCTCTCCCACCCCTGGCTGCCGAGGGGTCCTTGGCTGTCCGGTGTACGTCCTCACGGAGAAAGCATCCAGGACGGAGTCCCCTCCCGCCACCACATCTCCCACCTGTGTCGTCACTGGGGACTCCACCATGGGGAGGAGGAGGGGCTCAGGGTGACATTGAGTTTTGGCTCCGTCGTGGGTGTGAGTGTCAGGGGAAGATGTGAGTGACCAGATATGCATGGGTCTCTTATCCATGATGGCCCGTGTGTGCCCCCAAATAGGCCATGCTCAAATGGCTATAATTTAGCAGACCAAAGGGAATCGAACTTCTGGAGTGGGGAGTAGTTGCCAAACCCATATACGCTGTGCCTGCCATCTAGATGCTGTGGACAAGTTCTGTGCCCTGAACCAACTCCTTCATGAGAGCCAGTCTTGGCCTTCCCATCGGGGACTGAGAAAGGTCCCCAGGGCTCCGGCCTGCCTGGAGGGGCCGTGCCTGAGGCCCAAGCTGGGGCTCCCTTGAGCCTGGGGCCTAGGAGGGTGTGGGCTTTGCCCCGGCCCCAAAGAGAGAGCACAGCTCTGGGCCCCCCGCCATCCTGGGTTCCGAATGCCAGATTGGGTATTCTGCGAGCTCTTGCTCTCCAGCCTGCCCCCTCTCTCACCCCTCCCTGTTCCCCTTGGTCTGATTTAGGGGACTCTTCAGCCCCATTGGTAAATAGCTCCAGCACAACCCAGGCCCCAGTTTCTTTCCTCCCAACCAGCTAGCAGCCTGCCCAGTGCTCTTTTTGAGAAGTCTGGTGCATAACGCCTCTTCTGGCTGCATCTGCTCTTCCCAGAGCCTTCTGGAAGCCTCCAGGCACCACCTGGCAGTTCTCAGGAACTGAGGCCTGAGGTTCTGGCTCCACGGCCACCAGAGTTTCAATTTGGGGTGCCAAAGGCAAGCACCCAGATAGTTTGCCGTGTCCGCCTGCAAGCCTACAGAGTGACCCAAGGCAGGGAGCAGGGCCAGTGTATGAGCTGCCGCCAAGCATTGGTGCTCAGGCTTCCCACTCCCCTGGGGGGCTCCAGGGCTCCAGACAGACCCCACCCCAGCCACATGAAGGCCCCAGTCAAGGAAGGGTAGGTTCCAACAGAAGCAAAAAGGAACCCCCCTCCCCAACCAAAGCCCTGGGCCCTCTGGGTCAGCGAGGGGGTCCCTCTGAAAGGGAAGCCTTCATCCCCAGGCCCAATGCACCAAGACCACCCACATGGACCCACAGCCCTTTCTCTGAAGAGCCAATGGCTCTGTCCTCCCACTGCTCCTGTGGCCCCCTCACTCCCCACCTCTCCCCCATGCCTCCCACCCTGCTGCTGCCTCCCTCAGCCATCAGGCCCTCCCCTCATCTTTGCCACCCCTCATTTTTCTGCCCCATCTCCTGGCTCAGCCCCCGCTGTGCATGTCCTCTGCCCCCCATGCCTCCTCCCCACTCAGTCTGCTCCCCTCCCCTGTCCCAGGCAGGGTGGGCTCTGTGTCCTCCACCTCCTTAGCAAACCTCCCTCAGGTGCAGTGGTCCCACTTTCCACCCCCACCACCACCTCCCACCCCATATTAACTGTAATTTTGTAAGAAGAGTGACTTGGTTTAATAAATCTCTCGTTTTTGTAATAATTTATTGGCTGCAGTAATGTTATTTATTAGTCACCTACCATTAATAAAAAGTGCCAGCTTTTCCAAGCGCCAGTGTGCTGTGTTGTCTCAGTGCCCGGGGAGCTTCTGCCAGGCGCACCCACACGATGTGTGTCCTTGTGTCTTGCCCCAGTCCAGTCCTGGGGCCACCTGGCAGTGCGGACATGCCCTGCTGGGGGCAGAAGGATTCTGAGCGGCAGGCCCCATGCCCACCTCCCAGGGTTGTCACCATCTGTCCCAGGCTGAGCCTACATTCCCATTCTCGCATGCTTCGGTGCCGGCCCGCCACTGCCCCAGTGAACACAGCAGCCGGGAGCCAGAGCTTCCATGCGGCTCTGGGCTCCACCTGCAACCAGGGCCCAGCGGGGGGCTAGGGGAGCCAGGGAGGTGACAGGCAGGAGCAAGCAGCTGTTGCCTGGCTGTGACGCGACTCCATTCTCTTTTCCCAAACGGTGACGTCTCCTGTTTGGAAAGCACTCAGACGTCTGTTTTCTCTGGGGGAGCTTGTAAGGAAAGGCTGTGCTCTTGGGCCCTTGGTGGTGAGCTTCAGTCGGTCTGCAGAAGGATGGCCGTCAGGCCTGCAGGCGTGGAGAGAATCTCAGTGCCGGCGCCTCCCCTTCCCACTGCCCTCCCTGCATCTCCAGGATCAGCCCTCTTTCAAGCTCATTCCAAAGCCCTTCCCAGAAACCAGGTCTGTGCTGTGCACCCTCTGGGGATCGCAGACCTTTTAACATGGATACATGTCTCCCCAGCTAGACTGTGAGCTCTCGGAGAGCAGGACCTGTGCTGGTCATTCATCTGCCCCACAGCAGCCCAGCAAAGGGCTTTGCACACAAATGCAGCTGGCATTGGTGGGAAGGGTGTGTGTGTGTGCACGTGCTCTGCAAACCCGGGGCAAGCAAGGCCATGGCTGAGCCTAAGCAGAGTGGGACTGTGGAGCCCGGGCTGCGGGCCTGGGTTTCTCCTCCAAACCTAAGCTTGGTGGCCTCTCGAGGAAGAGACCCTGCACCCAGCCCACAGGCCAAATGCACACAGTCCTCACTCTCAGCTCAGGTCACCCTGGTGGTGCCTCCAGGTCCTCAGAGTACCCTGGCCATGTGTCCCCCATGCATCACCCAGTGTGTAGACCAAAGCAGTGCTTAAAACAATCGTGTGCTGGCAGTGAGGGCTTGCCCCGGCTCTGGGCTTCCAGCTCTTGGGTGAGCAATTATGGGACGAGGTGGCTCTGTGTGGTGGGAAGCCTTTTCCTATGGAATCGTGGGGTGTCGGAGCATCTGTACTCTGCCTTCATCAGTGGCGCAGTGAGCCTGAGTGTTCACCAGCCCGGTTCACTTCTAGGGGACCTCCACCTGTCCTTCCTGAGCAGGCTCCATGGAGACAGCTCGGGGCTGCCTGAGTGGGATTGCACAAATGACCAAGAGACTTTGGGGAAATGGAATTAAATGTATTGGGTAAGACTGGGAGGATAAGAAGACCGGGAGCATTCACAGAATTTGCGTAGGAGAGTAAGAGGCGCCATGTCTGCCAACCCTGGAAGGAGTGGTAAAACCATGCCAGTTGTCAGCAGGCTCCCAAAGGGCATCCGTGAATTCAGTCCCCTGCACCAACTGGCCTAAACCATGAGAATGAGGGTTTGGGGCTGGTGCTCATGCAGGTCACTGGTGTAGTGACACAGTCATGAAAGACACGACCACGGACTCGTGGAATGAGTCATGACCCTCTATTTACTGCCCTGAAGGTTACAGACTCGCCAACTGACTGGAGAACCCGCTACGTGGCATCAGCTCTGGGCCCGACCTGGAGCTGAGGGCAGCTCTCCACTCCTCCGGGTCCCAGTGACGTCCCGTCCCCTAAGGGTGGATGTGCCTACGTGACATGAGGCAGGCCAAGTGCTGGGTGTGGGGCCGGCAGAGCGGGGCTTGGATGGGTGGTCACTATGTCATCTCCCACAGCCCCGTCCGCTCAGGTAGAGGAAGGGCCGTGGCCTACACTGCAGGTGACTCGGCTCCTCCTGCTTGCTCACCCCTGGGAATAAGCTCGCCTCCCAGTGAACAGCGAACACCCGGTGATGTCCACACCCCCTCTGCTCTTCCCTATGCTTTGTTTCAACCTTCTTACACCTGAAGGAGGGTGTGGCCTGGACTTACTTCTGGGCTTGAGCTGTAGCCCCATGGAGCTGTGTTTGTTGTTCCTAGGGCCAGGACAGGGTTCTTGGGAAAATGAGTGGCTCTCCCTTCCCCAGGGGTGTAGCATTCATGGAGGAGCCACCTTCCCACATAGGAATGGGTTGGTTCACAGGGAGACATGCTGCCCTACATTGCCAAGAAATATTACCCAAGTTCACGGACTTGGCATCCCATAGTAAAGTCAGTCTTGTCCAGGGCAAAAGGCTGTCCCCCTCAGATTTTGCTTTATTAGGAATGCCCACCACATTCACTCATTTGCTAAATGGACTTTTGTGTGTGAGGCAGTACTTCACAGCTACGTTGCTTAAAACTCCTTGCAGGGTCAAACTTGGCTAAGTGTGAACCAGCCAGAGGTGGTGTGGCCAGGCCCCTCAGCTGCCCTGAAGGCAACCCAGCAGAACATCTCTCCCAAGGATGCAGGCAGGAGTTTGATGTGTTGTCCCCTCCTGCCCCCGGAGGGGCCTGGAGTCCCTCACTGCTAGAGGCCATGCCCTACCCACAGATGGGGCCCAAGAGGAGAAGTCTGGAAAGGGAGGGCCAGTGCCCAGCTCCCGGGCTTCAGACCCATAACACCATGCTGGGTGTGCCTCCTGTGGCTGGGGACTCTGCAGCGGGGAGGACCCAGGTCACCCTGGCCTCAGCCTCACCCAGGGAGCCGTGGTGGTTTCCCAGGACAGTCTCTGCCATCAGCCCTGAGACAGTGGGTTCAGACTGCCCCGGATACATGCAGTGCACTACATGGCAGATGGCGGTTCTCTCTCTCAGCCTTCAGAGGAGCCCTGGGGGCACAGGAGCCCGTCCCAAGACACTGAGTGGCCCAGCTCCTCTCTCTCAAACCTAACTCTCTTCTTCTCTTTCCCTATCTCCATGTCTCTCCCTCTCGCTGTCTGTCTTGCTTTCTTCCTCCCCACCTGGGGCTGCAGAACTGCATGCAAGAGTCTCTCATGTTCTTCGACTCCATCTGTAACAAGTTCTTCATTGATACCTCCATCATTCTCTTCCTCAACAAGAAAGATCTCTTTGTTGAGAAGATCAAGAAGTCACCTTTGACCATCTGCTTTCCTGAATACGCAGGTGGGTGTCACGGTGGCCCTGTGCAGGAGGAACCCCACCCCTACCAGGGACCTGCCCCTGGCAGGAACCAGAGCCCAGTGCCGGGCAGCAACCAGCTGATGACCGAAGTCACTGCAGGCGTGGGGCTGGGATGTGTGGGAGGAGTGCTAGGGCGTGACCGGGTTTGGCCATTCTGCAGACACCACCCTGGGTGCAGTGGGAAATGGACTCTCCTGATCCATGTGTTGTGGACCAGGTGACTCAGGAGTGACATGGCAGGAATCAGAAGGCCTGACAGGACCGCAGGGTCCCCCTGCTCCTATCCTTCTGCACACCTAGGAAAGCACTCCTGTCCTCCCCGCTTCTCACCAGTGGCCACCACTGATCCCTGCCCTGGAGAGCGTCAGGGCCACCCAGCACCGTGACATGAATTAGAAAGGCTGGACACATGGCCTGGGAGTGGGGCCGGGGCCACTTTTCAGCCCCTCCCCGCTTTCTCTGCTACCTGCTCTGGGGCACTGTGTGCATGTTTGGCCTGTGCGCAGCCAGATCCAGCGCCGCTCCCACCCGCCGCCCTCCCCTCCCCTCCCCACTCCATCGCCCTTCCCGTCTCTCCATCCCTGGTCTTTCCCCACATCAGACCACTCCTACTCTGCAAGCCTGCCTGCGTTCCTTCCACCTTCTCCGGGGCTCCTTCCCACCTCTGACTCGCAGGGGGTGTGGCACAGACCCACCATCACAGAGCTCTTTCTGAATGGGCGGGTAGATGTGGGGCTGTGTCTGGCAGCTGAGGGAGGGTGGCTGCGGCAGGGGGCTGGCTCTGAGCTGCCGCTGAAGGCTAAAGCAGTGCTGTTGGGATGCCACAGCCCAGCCTTTGCCCTTCCGGGACAGGGAAGCTTCTAGAGTGCCCTGGGCTGGCAGTAGAGGAGGACACATCACAAGTTGGATCAACCAGGATCCCACGCACTGTGACAGTCCCAGAGAGGGAAGAGCACGGGCTTGGCTCCCAGGGCTACACAGGTCCCCAAACCCAGCCAGATTTCAGGAGGATGGGTGCCCCTCCACTCTTCTCCGCTACTGTCAGTCTAGGGCCCAGGACAGGGAGGGCCTTTCGGCTTATTGTGAGAACAATCTGTCTCCTTGCCGATGCTCAGGCTGCCTGTGACTCTGCAAGGCTCCTACCCAATTCCGGGGTGCATGGAGAGGGCAGAGGGTGCAGGCTCTCAGGTCCCACAGACGTCAGACAGTCTCCAGTGGACAGGTGGGCTGAAGCAGCCTCAGGCCAGACCACCTGCAGCTTTGGGCAAGTGAATCCTGAGCCTCATTTTCCTCCGCATAGCATGGTTGTGGGGACGAATGTGGAGAACAGACCCTGGGGCTAGGTCCACACACCCGTGGCTATTGCCCTCTTTAGCATCATTCAGAGAAGGGAAACCAAGGAAGGGGAAACTAGCCATGGAGGAGATGAATCCTGCAGGGCGGAATGAGGCCAGGAGGGCCCAAGGCAGGCCTGAAAGGTCCAGCCCACAGCTGCTCCGGGCAGAACTGGGATGCAGCGCCCCCTCTTGGCAGTCACTGCTGACCTCGAGATGAAGCCCCCGGGAACAGTTCAGGTCTTTAGAAAGTTGTGGTGACCAGGGGGACTCAGCAACCACAAATTCCAGCAGACCCTCCCAGGGGCAGGCACAACCCCAAAGACCTTGTCCCCGTTTGGGACATGACCCCCCCGAGCGGCCAGTCTCACCGCTGTGTGGTGTGCAGCCCTGGATGCCCCCAGAGAAAGTCGGTCTGAACCTGGGAAATGTGTGTTTCCCAGGGTCTCCAGAGGGATCAGGTTTGAGTACAAACAACAACATGATGGATGACAAATGGTCGGCAGTGCAGTGTCCCTATGAGGTGCTAAGGCTTAAGGGGCACAAAACAAGAGGGGCGAGGAAAGTGGATGTTCCAAGTGGGCTCTAAGGGAGACCAGCTCAGCAGAGAAGGCCCGAGCCAGGCTTCCCCCCCCACCGGGATGGGCACCCTTGTGGGCACTCCTAGGCACGTGTCCCCCTCCTCAGTGCCCTGTCTTGGCCCTCTCTGGACAGGAAGCTCCTTGATGGGGTCCACGCTGGTGCTATGTCCAGTCTGTGAGTGGCCACCAAACTGATGGCTTCTCTAGACTCACCACTAGTGGCTTGGGGCCCAGGCAGAGCGGGGTTGAAGAGGAGCCTCTGCCCTGAGGACCTCAGCCCTTCGCCCCAGGGTTGTGCCCACCCCCACCTACCCCTGGCTCCTCACATTGGTTAATCTGGCTGCAGAACCTTGCCAGTACCGAAGCCCCAGTCGGCCCCTGTGGCTCACACCTTCCACTTGGAGAAAGTGGCAGGGGTTGGTGTTGGGAGCAGAGGTCCCACACCCTCAAAAAAGATTACCACACTGGCCAGATCCTAGTGGCACTGGGGAAAATGGGGCATCTTCTTTCGATGGGCTTTTAGACAATTCTGTGTTGGCCTATATTTCATGGTAATTGCAAGCTATCAACCAGGCAGAGCAATGGGGTTTGGATTGCAGCTGGTTGGAAAACCCTCTCCAGCACCACAGGTATCCCCACCGGACCCCAGCCACAGTCAAGGGGACAGCCGAGGGATGGCAGTAGCAGTGGCACCCCAATTGGTACTGCACATGCCCCTGAAACTTCCCACCCAGGGACACCAATGCCCCCACATCCTGGCCACTCACCCATGAACTGGGACCGTTTAGAGACACTCCCATCCCTGCCCAGTGGCTTCCTGTCCAAGGAAACCCCTCAGAAAGGAGCGCAGGTCCAGCTGGGCACCCAGCATACCCTGGGGCAGTGCGGGTCCTGGGCCACCACCGGGCCTGTGCACTCCCATCACACTTCTTTGTCCTGGTCTAGTAGAAGAAGCAGGACTGGTTTAGACCACGGGTGAGTGCTGTTAATAGCTCCTCTAGAAAGCAAAAGGGACAACCAGTGGCAATTGTCCTCCCAGGGACAAATGGGTAGATCCAGCATGAAAACAGAGTAAAAGACCTTGAAAGGTCAAAGGCCAGGCGAATGCTTTGTGTGTGGTTTCTCATGTAAAAGGTGACTACACTCTAAGCGCTCAACTGTAGTTTCTCTGTTCCCATCGCACCCCATCCTGCTTCTTGGGAATCGCACTGCCTGCATCTCTGCTTGGTGTTTACACCCCAACCCAGTCCAGCTCTCACCAGGGCCTCTCCTCTGTTCTCTGTTTCATTACAGGGCCCAATACCTATGAAGATGCAGCCGCCTACATCCAAGCACAATTTGAAAGCAAAAACCGCTCACCCAACAAAGAAATTTATTGTCACATGACTTGTGCCACAGACACAAATAATATCCAGGTGGTATTCGACGCCGTCACCGACATCATAATTGCCAACAACCTCCGGGGCTGCGGCTTGTACTGACCTCTTGTCCTGTATAGCAACCTATTTGGTAATGATTCCAGCACTCACAGAAGAGCTTGCACACACACACACACACACACACAAACACACACACACACCACTAACAAATGCAAGTTGGTAAATAAACTTCAAAAAAGCCTAACAAAACCTTATATATTATATATAAATATATATAAAAAAATTCTTTTTAGTTTGTACTAGAAAGAGCTTCGGACAGAACTGACCACCATCCCATAGGTCAAGGTTTTTCTGGGACAGCATGTAAGCATGCACATGTGTGCGTGCGTGCGTGCACACACACACACACACACACACACACACACACACACACACACCATGACGGGGTCCTGATGTGGCAGTCCATCCTTTGAAGAACAGCCACATGACTTTACTCTCAGACCCATTTCTGTGAGCAGGGAAGGGCAAACAAAGGTCTGGCATCAGTCCAGCCTGCTTCTCTGCTTCAACCTACTGAGGCTGTGTGCCCTCAGTTCTGTCCTGCTCTTGTTTGAATTACAAAACCCTTTGCAAAAATGGCCACACCCTTAACATCTCAGTACCCTATACCCGCAATGACAACAGAAACATTAAAGATGCTTCTCTTTTGGGTGGTGGCAGTTGTTAATCTCAAGAATTTAGAAGAATCATTGCTCTGACCAATCCACTGTCTCTTGAGTTTTTTTGATTCATGTTAATGAGGCAGGAGTCAGACAAAAGGGAGACTTGACCTGTTTTCTAAAAGCAGCTGCAGGAGGGGACACGCACACTGTGATGCAAATTCACCCGCAGAGTTGAAGCCAGCCCCCTCCAGTAGGGCAAGCTGGGAGCAAAGGAGAGATGTGAAGGGGAGGGCTGGATTTGCAGACCTCACCAGGGTCAGGGGCCTGAAGGGAGAGGCCTCACAGGGGGCCTGGGCTAGGCTTCCCTCGCGTCCTGTGATGCTGCCCGGCTTGCCCTGCCCCAGTGTTATTAACAATGTTCTAGGGTTTTTTGGTTGGTTGGTTGGTTTTTAAAATCAAGGAAAATGGTCAGACTGGACCCCCTTATCTCTCTCTCTACAGACCGCTTCACGGACTCTTTGCTGTTGACGTTGATCTCCTGGTAGCATGATCTTTTGGCTTTTGTAAGACACACAGCCTTTCTGTACCAAGTCCCTGTCTAACCTACGACCCCCAGAGTGACTGATGGCTGTGTATTTTTGTAGAAGGCTACAGAATTTGGTTTTAGTTGAGTCTTTACATTTAGAATTTGGAACGAAAAAAAAGAACATTTCTCATGTGCTTTGGAGCTTCAAAAAAAGAGGAAAAAGGAAAACTCACCATTTCATCCATATTTTTTTTTCTTATTGAAATAAACATACACATCTGCACCCACATCCTCTCCTCCCCACCCCGAGGTGGCCCCCACCACCCCTACAGAGGCCTGTCTGCACCGTGGGGCTCCTGTGGGTGCTGAATAGGAGTTGCACTTTCCCGAATGCCTTGGGGCTGCTTGGGGAGCCCCCAACACGCCTCCCTAGCCCCGAGCCACCACAACCACAAGCTCACTCGAGGTCCATCTAGAAAAAGCACAGCTCTCACTGGCCAGTAGCTGCCAAAAATAATACAATCAAATATATAAACAGCCCTGGGGAAAACAATTTTCCCTCCAACACCCTTTCTATAGATACCCTTTTGAATATCTTTCTCGTTTCCATTTTTCTTTTGATCTCTGTCTTGAGGAGCACTATGTATCACATGCCCCATCAGCTTTCACCATCCAGGAGTTGGGGCTGTGGTTTTCTCCCTCGGAACGTCCACTCCTCAGTCTCTCAGATGGATGTTCCCCGTGTGTGTGCGCCACTCTCCACCATCTCCTTTGTTTCAGTGACCTATGTTTGCCCTTGCTAATGTGGGGATGTTTGTGCTGCAGATAGAAAAAACAAAAAAAAGTTTTTAAATACAAGATGGGGGAAAAACACACACACAAAAAAAAGATGGAATGTAGTATTTACATGAAAGCCAGTTTTCATGACCAGTCTTATGTCGTTTCTACTTTGACCTAGTATCCATCCAAACCACAAACTCTTCACGATTTCACTTTTAAGACTTAATATTCGCTGAAGAAGACCAGTCACAGCCATTTCAGATAACAAGGAGGCAAAAAGATAAAACACACAAACAATTTAGAACATGGAAAAAAAAACCTTAAAAAAAAAAAGTAAAAAAGTTAAAAAAAAAAAAAAAGTCCACGGGTCTTTCTAAGCCTTTCTATTCCCGATCGGTGAGGTTTCTGTGGTATCTTACACACTGCCAGTCTACTTCTCTAATGGAAACTCATGTGTAGCTCAATAAAGAATGTTTGTCTGTATTCCTGAGTCCGTCACCCTGGGGCTTTATTCTGCCAGGAAGGGGAAGGGGGGGGTGCGACTGGGCCACCGACCCTGGAAGGCTGGCGGGGAGGGCTGCAGGTGCCAGCTGAGGACCCACCGGCCCCCGGACCTTCCCCACATGCCCCTTGGCGCTGCCCGCACAGGGAGCCGCCAGCTGAGCACAGCCTACAGGAAACAAGAGCAGAGGACTGGGCTGCTCCTGCCTGCATTTGTCCTCTGCTCCTGCTCCCAGCTCTTCCTTCCTCACCCTCAGCTGGTTTTAGGGTAGGGTGGGATTGAGAATTGGGAAGGGGAAAATGCGGGGAGGACAGCTAATCCCAAATCTCTTGCTAAGACAAAATCCTGTTTCTTCTGCACCCAGTGGTTCCATCACAGTGGAAGAATGGGTGGTCACAAGAATGAGGCCAAATGGCCTGTAAGGGGTCATATCCACTCACTTGGGCATCTCTGAAAGCCACCACTATCATCTGGCTGCCAGGAAGCCCCAGCAAGCCAAACACTCAAGGCCAGTGGAGAAGGGCACAGCCAGGTCCGCAAACTGAAACTTGCTGCCCAGCTGTGACTACCTCTCTCCCAGGCTGCCGGATTTTTCTCTATTAACTAGCAGATTGGTTGAGCCTGGGACCTGAAGGGAATACAGTCCACCCGAATCCTTGAATCGTGTCCATGGATTCCTTATCAGCTAACCAGTCCAGTGCTACATCAAGTGTGAGACAGAAGGGCCTTAAAGGGGTCCTGTTTGCACCAACAAATGGGACTTACCTGCCCAGGGCATCCTCTCCTTGGCAATCCCAGTGGTCTTCCAAATTTAGTGTGGGTGCAGGCAAGAGCTGATACTGCTGCAAAGACCACAGAGTAGGAGGCTAGTTCCCTTCAGCTATAAAGAACAGATCGGAACCCCATGGGTCTCCTCAGCCAGGGCAAGCCTGCGGCCAACCAGGCCACACCTCTTCCAGGCCTCCTCCCACAGGGGCCTTTGCCCTGGCTTGTCTGCATAGGGATGCCCACAGCCATCTGCTGATGGGAAAGTTAACTCCTGGCCACAACTTGACTGCAAGATGCCAGCTGCAGTCAAACCAGGATGGAGGGCAAACCAGGATGCAGACAGGTTGAAGGACACCATGACTTTGTCTACATATGGTACACCTGAATTTCTCTAAGATTGAGCTAATCCTAACAGGGTTCTTTCCCAACCTTTAGGAGTTCAGGTAAACCAGTAGGTTTGTCTTAAACTTAAAAGTTAGGAAGTGTTTGCGGGGAAAGGATGCAAGGAAAGACCAATTCAGTAAGTATAAGGAGCATGGGGGCAGGACCTGCGCATCACGGTTCTCCAGGCTCCATAGTAACTACTGAGCAGTCAGGTTTGGACCCACTAACCTAACCAAATGCAGGGGCCATGAGGCGAGAGGTGGAGGCTCCCCAGTGATGGAAGGCCTTCAGGGCAGACAGGCAGAAGTTATTTCGTGATAAGCTAGCTCACTGGCAAGGCTCTCAGCTTCCTTTTCTGTAGCAGGCGAAGTCACATCCCAGAGGGACCATGTCTGCTGGCTAAAGATAAAACAGCACACTGTCTACACAGCTCATGTGGGAAATCAGGTCCAAGTGGCCACCTGCATTTATATCAATGCAAGCAAAATATTCACAGGGATTATGATTTTCTATGGCACAGAAAAGCCACAAAATTTGGGGGTAAAAAAAACAAAGGTATACCCAAGATGTCAACAAAACAGGGCCAATAAGAAAATGGAGGGAACTAACGTAGATTACCTACAAAAGAGCCCAGGGAGGGCAAGGGCAACTCTACCATTCACCATAGCCAGGACCCTCTTGGCTGTTTACAAACCTGAGCCAGCAGCTGGGCCTCACTTCTGGGCTGTGAGGGCTTAGCATGAGGATAGGCATCCGTCCTGGCCCTGGGATCGGCCAGGACAGCAAGCACGTGTGGGAGAGGGAATCTATCCACAGCACCAGGACATGGGCTTAGCCTCCTGCCTGCCCTTGGCAGCTGTCCCAGATGCCCCCAAGCAGTGACAAAAACTGAGAGACAGTATAAAGCCCAGAATCCTTTACTGTCCATGTGCAAAATCTAAGGGTGAAATGAGAACTTCTCTTCTTGGCTCATGGCTCTGCTTGATCACTGTCGTATTGCTCTATTCGTGTCTGAAGACCCTCTAAAATTGGCTCCAGTTTTTTTCCAACATCTGAAACATAAGATCCCAGGGAATTACTGTCACCTTTAAAATGTGCAACAGGCAAAGTATAAGGATGGAAAAATCATCCAACCGCAATGGCACACACAGCATCAGAACGGGACCTAACTGGCATCTCCAGAACAAACTGCCTTAGCTTCTGACCACACACAGCACACTAGAAGAGTTGGCTTTTATTGTTATTATTACTGTTTTACAATAAAAACAAACAGCTATGCTCTCAGCAAAACAAATTTTTTTAAAAATCACAGAAATTTACTGACAGCATTTCACGATAAGGCTTTTGAAAGTTTTGAAATAAATTACCTCACCCTAAACATTTACTCATCACTCTTTTCAATTGTTTTCAACATCCTAAAAACTTTTTAATGTAAAATACATTTAACTTTGCCAATAATTTTATATAATACTGGATTCTTCCCAAAAAGACTGCCATAAAACTATGCTTTCAAATATTAAAAAAAAAAAAAAAAAAAACTGAATCCAACAGGACACAAAGCTGAACCAGGT